AACGGTGACAGTTTTCTCTCTGATTGCCTCTGATGGTGTTAATCCAAACGTGTGTGTGTGTGTGATTTCATTATTCATAGCTTATGTGACTGGTGGAAGTCGTGTCAACCACTCTGAAGATCGCACTGTGATCTGAGACCTCATTATCTATTCCTACTCATACTCGTTGCAGCATATCTATAAATCGTTCCACAGTAACCTGTTTGAGATATTTATTAATATGTACAACACAAGTATAAATTTTATGCTATGTTAACAACGCAGCAATTGCACTGAGAAATTCTATTCGAGGGTACAACTACAACAGCCGTGGCCAAGTTTGTTGTGAATGTATATAAATACGTTTAAGCACGCCTGAGACAATTGCGTTGAATTTTTATTTGTCAACAGTACCGCAAAAATCTATTGCTGGCAACATGTACGAAGGCAAAGTGTGATTGTGGGTTTGTTTACGCAGTTATGAGGAAGAAGCAAAAGATGAAAGTGATTAGCTTCGTAAAATGTTTTCATGTCTACATAACATCTTCCTTGGTGATGGTATGTAAATTTACCACAATGTTTGTTGGCCATCCATGCTCGAGCAACAGCTTGGCTGACATTTGCCGCGTTAGCTAATTTTTCAACGGCCTATTCATCCTTCTAATAGCCGTTGAGCGGATCGTATTGTGCGCCAAGTGCAATCTTAGCTTAGCCTTCGTACCGTCTTTGTTGACAATTCTTTCTTTGAGCGAATAGCATTCATGCTATGCATGAGACCTGCAAAAGCAGGCTGGCGTGCATGGATATCACTTGATGTTTTTTTTTTACAGGAGGTCGCGTTGGCAACATGCAGCATCGACACGATTTATAGGTGTTTCTCCACACTTTTGACAATATTTAGAATCTAGAATCCAATCGTGTTCTAGGACCACACAAGGTCTCTGATGAAGCCAGAGAAATTTTTGCCAGGGCGTTAACAGAATTTCCTGAATGAAAATCGCTTAGGGTGAACGACGTCGCAAAGTTGTTCGCGAACACCTAGAACATTCGTAATCTTTTTGCCAACCGTAAATGTGTCAAAATATGTTACAACCACTACATACTGCATGGGTAGATCTCAGAGGGCATCGAACAAACGTTTGCACTACTACTACAAGAAAGATTATAGAGGAAGGGAAAAAGAAGGTTGCGAAAACCACCATCGCAATGGTATGAACAAAATATTAACCGGATACGTTTCTCAGGACAACCCAAGCCTTTGGACAGAGGCGAACTCTGAGACGAATAAAGATTGTTGATGCAATCGCGAAAGGCACCCGTCTGCTTGATGAAGACATCATGACAGTCAGTGATGTAAACAACGAAGGAGAATTAAAATGAAAGAGGTCGCCAAAGGGCTTTTGAAAATCCCATACTAACCGGTTTCCTTATCCATAAGAGCGAACGATTCATAATGAAAGCGCCATCGATGTTAAGATCTTTTCAACCCAGTAAGTATTCATGGAGATTGGTTGGTTTAAATAAGCCATTCGCCAGCGATAGAGTGATTATAATGAAATACTTGATATAAGCAATTGTTAAAGATTTAATTAAACGAGCATGGGAGAGGAAAACAAACCACCTAGTGCATGACTTCAACTTCTACACGAACCTAAAACCTGGTTTTGAATCTGAATAACTCAGGAACTGCATCGTGCAGTTATACGCCATTCTAAAAGTAATAAGCATCTGCACCTCACAGGATGAGTTATCTATTCCGCCATGAGACAAAATTTCCAAACCTAAGAAAGAAGAAGGCTTTGGTGGGGTTGTGACCCCGATGACCTTGTTGCAAACGCTCGGGAAACAACGTAGCATAAGTCATCAATTTGTTAGCATCGATTTGTTAACAGCTGCTCGCCAACAATATCATGGACAACAGGACCTGTCGTACTTACTGAAGAAATATACAAAGATCTTCATTTGTACAACACCGATGGCGAATTCTGGTGCACATTGTAATTTATGTCAAACATTTTAATTTACGTAAACACAATCTTGAGCGTCATCTCGCTGAATTTCTTTACTAAAACCGGAATATAATGTGACTTTTTCTACACAGACCTCTGCGTTGATTAGCGTGAAGTATAGCTGGTATAGTACCTGAACACAACCATTCTGGAGTCCTCTAGTTTGTGTTTGTGCTAGCTGATGACCCAGCCAAGCAAGAAATCAAACTTCCCATGGGTGCGTCCGACAAGGGATTAATGAATATAGAGGTTCGACAGAGGGTTTCATTGATAAGTGGCAAAGACAATTTTCATGCACAATCCAAGGCTCAGCATTTTTATGTGCTTTAAATTTATCGTGTGCTGCTAACACCACAAGATTGTGAATAAGAACATTTCAGTTTGCCCGAAGAAGTTTCGGAGATTTCCATAACCAACGAATTTTGTATTTAGAAGGATCTGGATACAATATTGCGCCACCCGAAAGGGCACCGTTAGTGATGCGGTTTGGTGTGATGTTACTGCCGCTGATGGCAAAGTTATATTGTCACTTACTAAAGAATCAGATCCGTTGTTGTATATGCAGTCTGGAACCTCGTCAAAGCTGTCATTTCCTACAATCACCACATGTTCGAAGTCAATCAATACTCTTCAATGACAGTTTACATGAAAAATAAGTATACAACATGGCCTTAGCGCACCATAACTAGTCTTCGTGTCATTTCAAAATGAATTTGGAACTAACGGTCGAAGCTTGTAGTGTGACGATATTTAAATAAGTTAGGGATGTCTCTCAAGTTTCTGTGCGGAGAAAAGGCACTCGGGAACCTTTCTGAAAAATTTTGCTTAGCTTTACAAACAATCAAGCCACTTGTGTATATCAAAATTGTGGTCGTTGATAGAAATACATCAATATATTGACAATTGTCTGCAGATTTCCCAGCACGACTTCAGTACCTTGCACCAGATTTAGTACTTTTTGTAGAAATACCAGAAATTGTTCAAGCAGACTGTGGTCAACATGTTTTTTATTCACGTGTTACTGATATGGCTGGTCCCCCAGTTGTCAGCAAGCACAAATGCATAGCTGTCATCCTCTCATACGTTTCTGTTGTTGAAGGTACATGTGGCCGAATGGAGGCCATCGATGCGCCGAGAAAAGTCGTAACAAGTTATCTAACCTGTTAGGTTTTCAATACTAATGTCCTATCACGAAGTTAAGGATGACCTTAAAACAAAACAGTAGCGCAGTGTGAATTGAGTGTGGGGACATATTTAGGCTGTTAGACAAACTTGAATTATTTCCGTGTGGTTGAACTAAACACAGCTTAACGCGGCCTACAAAATATATATTAATAATATTAATGGTATCCAAGTCAGAAAGGGCACAAATGAAATAACTGTCAAATAATTCAATTCCTCACAGTCATTCCAACGTAGTTAGCAGCTGAAACTCCAACCGTTGAAAACGCGGCTGCTTTAGAGCTGTCAGAACTGCATATAGGATGAATATAAAAGGAAAAGATCTTCGATTACCATGGACAACTCACAGAATACCATCAGGCAGAGGTCTTCGACTACCATTTACGAATCATAAAGGCATCACTGTCAACTCACTATGGATTGTCAGTCAAGTATTTCCGATGTGTATCTTAAGCGAAATGAACTAGAAAACAAAGGCTTTCTGGCGACTATCCCCAGCATGTGTGAAACCATGGTCAAACCTTGATTTGACAACAAGATTTGGGACCAAACTGAAAAACTTTAAACTTCTAACGTAAACATTCGAGATGTTTTGAAGCTGCGAGGTGCCGTCACAAAAAGACTGACCGAAATATAACAAATCGGAGGATTTGAGACGCTAGAGCGTTGGTTGTTTTCATCAAAGATTATGTTGACACAAATACGCTATCAAATGTTAAAAACGTCTAAGTGGCAATGAAATGAGTAGAAAAATGAACGGAAATCGAATTCAACAGATTCAAGGGTGCATTGATAATCATGATGTTGCAACGACCACACGCAGTAGCTTTTTCATAGAGACAAATCGAAGTAACATTAACCAAAGAAGGCGCGGGAAACCTTAGGAAATTCTTTATTTGTTTCTTATCGTCTTGAAAAATGTTTCGATAAATCTAAACCTCACATCCTAAACGTGCGTGAATCAGGTTCATGCTTGTTTATTTTAATCGTAATTAAATGGTGGTTGGGTAGAAGGTTGGGTAGAAGGTTGACACTAATAAATGATAAGTGGAGTATTGGTTTTTGTCACCAATTTCGCATACTGAAAGAGTGGACGATGTTGTTGCATTTTTTTCACATATGCAATACCTCTATCATTAGTCGCCGTAGATAAAAATATTTAAACCGTCTATGGTGTTTGTTTCAAGATTAGATTTTTAATGCCATATAGGTGATGGATTCTGACGGCGGTGATGAGGTTGCTGAATTTGCTGACTGGATGGTGAATCGACTGACTAATTATGCTAACATCGACAACAACTTCCTTACACTCTTTTATTCATATCGGCGTGAAAACAGTGTCAGCATTCGCTCGTATACGCTGAGGTATAAGTTTTCAAGGGTCGAAAAGGAATCAACAATTGGGACAACCGTAATACCATCTCGTTGTCAAGTTGGAATCATTTAATTAGTACGCGAAAAATAGGATATACAGCCAGTCATGAAAAAAATTACGGGATTATTTATACAACGATAAATTGGAGTTCGCCGACAAATCCACCTTGGTTGCAATCCTTATTGGTTATGTTGCATCAATATTGACTGTGATGTGAGAATGTGATCATGATATTTAACGTAGCTTTAACAAGTTTTCAGTCATATCGATACGAGGTCTGCAGTGTGGCAGTTTAAAGTGATATCTAGTACCGGGGCATCATGCCGCAGACATGTAGCATGATGTCCCAACCAGTCTCATTATCCTATTACCAGACCGACCAGTCCTAACATTAAACTCTTAATGCTGAGTGTCAAGCGAGGCAGCTGTTAGTACTATTTTGTAAGTGTTTGGTATGACTCGACCGGGGATCGAATCCACGACTTCCTGCATCCGAGGCGGACGCTCTAACCACTAGGCCACCGGAGTGGTGCCCAACATTGATTCTACCAAAGAGAGAAAAATTTCGACTGTTTTTGAACAAGAGGGGGACTAGTCCATGGAACAATTTTAGGGTAAAAACGAGAACGATAATTTCAGAAACTATTCAATAATGTAACCAGTTTAATTATATATGAATTTAATGCCAGCCCCAAGAGCACACAATTGCTGGAGATTTAAATATCCCCAAAGTAGATATTATCCAATTATTGTATAACAGTTGTACCAGTACATGAGTATAACTGATTGAAAGTGTGTGTCTGTGTATATGTTGCATCTAATTACTGCAAAATTGTCATGCAATTATACCTCGCAATCATATTATTAATTTAAGAACTATAATAGACACTCTAACTTATCGACGTGACAAACTAAACGAAACAACAGCTGTGAGATGAAATTGCCAAGAACCGCACTATTCGTGAAATACAAACGCGTGTATGTGGTCTTAGTCGCTATTTACAGCATTACGGCTGCAACTACTGTTGGTCATGTTATTGCTGGAGTACTGACCACAACAACAATAATTGATACACAATTAGATGTTTAGTCTGAGATATAATTAATAGTAATCGGTGTCGCAGGCGATCCTGGTATAATTTCACTACCGCTGCATTAACATATACGTCTCTGTTCAGAACATTTTTCCTCGGCACAAAGCAATCACAGTAAAATTAACAAGCCACACTCGATAGCTTTTTGAGCATAAAACGACTAGCATAGCCGAGTTCGATATTGAGTGGGCGGAATGGAAAATTACAGACGAGAAAATGTATGCCAGTGCCTGAATGAGGCGCCTAGAACTACACTAGAATGGTTTCTGGAGTTTAAACAATTATTATCAACGAGTAATATGATAACAGCAGTTTGTTTGGCTAATGATCTAATTTAAACGTCTTCTACACCACATGATTCTCTTCTCGCATGGGCGCCTCGTGGTAACTTTGTAACGGGTTTGAACAAGTCATGGCGAGATATAGAAAACTTTGACCTATATCATTAACATATTCCCTAACAGATATGATGTTTGAATTAATTCAACTCGCGATTCCGACATTCATCCTCTATATTAAATCTGAATTAAAACAGACTGAGGAAATAAATTTTAGAATGAATGATAGAAGAAAGAAAGAAAGAAATAAGAGGATACAAACAAAAATTTCAAGCGTGTAATATTAAGGGATCAAACAGAAACCATAATCTTTTTCTCACAGAGTGATTCTTCGTTTCGTTTTTCACATTTTAACTACAGTCAAATCAGAAAGTAAATTTAAATTATTATATTGACAGGTGTTAATTTTGGCTAAAATGAAAACTTGATTATCCATTATAAATGGAGGATCCATAATTTTGTTATCATACTTTCTGCATGAATAAAAAGCTTTAATATATACTATATAAGTTTTCGACGTTGCACCGTTTGGTTTTCTCTCTCGTGTAAAACCTCGAAAATTCTCGCTGGATTTGTAGATATTTGAAGCACTTAGGAAAGCAAACGGGTATTGTAGAAAATATTTATTAAATTCAGTTTTCGTTGGATATGAGTAAAACTTTTGTCATCATCAGAAAATGTGCATGCATATCAGTCGATTCGCTGGTGCAGTTCCCATCAGTTTTGCTCTTCTTGTCTTGTAAGCTGAATGCAGAGTAAAAAAATCTGTGTACGTAACTAATCTTTATGAATCGCTCGGAAGTTTGGCGCATATTATTATCACCATGTGAAGATACACATATCGACAAATCACTTTGCTTATGGAATGTATGGCTGTTTATCGAATTAATTCAATAAGTTTCTATTTTCATCTCCCAGCAAGTTTTAAAATAATTTAAGGATATTTAATAAATTAAAAACTTCTACAGGATAAACATTAAATAAAATTCAAACGAACGTTACAAAATATCGTATAGATGTACATAGGATTTTTATCATTTTTTTTGCAGAACGTGAAAACATCTTTTTTTCAACTGTGGCTAAATCAAAGACTTTGTATTATATTCCCATTCGGTGTACTGCAGACACGGTCTGTGACGGTATAACTATTTCAATATTCCACGGTTTAAACAAGATTAAAGTTTATCAATCCTCATATAAAAAGTCCTTTGTAGCTAATGGCTCAAACTCTACAGTATTGTTTAAAAAATGTAAAGAAAGAATTACAGGCGCGAAGATATCCCTGAGAGTCTATGTGGTTCGTTTTTATCATCTTCAACGCCTAGATCTGGTTAGGTATCATGACTAGTTAGACCGTCACAGAAATCATCATAATCAATAGTGTTCATTGATATAGGACCATTTTCAGCTTTAAAACCATAGGTTTACATGCAGCAACGTTTAACAAAGGTACATACCTTCGTGTGTGTTATTGACTAAAATCTTGTTAACTATTGATCCAGGAGCTGGCAGTGCTATGTAAGTAAGGCTCCTAATACTGATTTGTCCTCCAGATCACAGAGCAAGCGCGTGTCGAACTCATATTCCAGAAAAAAATCAAAGAATCAAGGAGTGCCTGTTGCTATGAAGGATCTGTCTTCAGTATTTTGGAACTTGTATTAACTAGATCACGATGTTCGTTAGGCATGTGACGAGTACTTATACTTCTTTTATGATGAAAAATGATTTCCATTGCTATGTATTGCACATGGACTAACATTGATTCATGAGAAAGGTATTCCGAACAATATAAGATCGAGACGCAGATGTCATTCCATAAATGAATCAAAAGCACCATCAGATGAAAATTTATTAAGGTAATTATCTTTCATCAGCTATTATCTGTGAAAAATATCTTAGTTTATTTCTATCATTTTCATCTTCATTATTCTTTCCTCTTATTTTTAACACAAAACTTCTGTGAAGGTAACTAACTGCTTGTCTCTATCCAAACAAGAAATACCTGAATGTGGTTATGTACTTATATATGTGATGATAATTAGCTATCTTAAAATAATGCCAACGAATTGTACAAAGATGTCAATCTATGTAAAATTGTTTGTCGTATTATGTTAATCTCAAAATATTACCTGAATAAGAAACATTAATATGATAGATACATGTCTCAGCCAAAAAAAAGAGAATTATATGACATGTCTCAGCCAAAAAGAGAATTATATGACATGTCTCAACCAAAAAGAGAATTATATGACATGTCTCAGCCAAAAACAGAACTATCTGACATGTCTCAGCCAAAAAAGAATTATCTTTCTTTGTATTTCTCTGCAAAAAAAGTATATAATGATTGTTAAATATCTTCTCATTTAAATTTGAAAACTTCTACGTGTGATATCTCACATTTCTCCATTTTTTAAAGTCTCCATTTTTATTGAGAATTTAAGTATGCATGCATGTGTTTATAGAGTTTAACGGCACACCAGAGCAAACTAGGCTATAATGAAATGAGTGAAATATTAGGTTGCAAAAAATATATGTAACAAAAATGGCTGAAATTTTAAAGATGACATGGTTGCAGTATCAACAATTTTTAAAACGTTATCAGAACATTATCATCTTTATTAATGAAACTTACATTAAAAATATGCAGACATTTCTTGTATAGTGTAAATTTCGAGTGGTGTAGAAATGTAAACGATTTAACAACCTCATAGTTAGATTGTAAAAAAAAATCCCCATCAGAGCATGTCACTTAAAATATTGTTGCATCCACTATCGCTAAAATGTAAGTGATTTGTTTATCAGTGTACCTTTGTAACGTGTGTTTATTTATTTATGTGTCATGCTACATATGAATGCGTCGGTGGATAATTGTTTGCTGGAACCAAAAATTATTAAATCCTGTTAAATAAAATAATAATAATAATAATAATAATAATAATAATAATAATAATAATAATAATAATAATAATAATAATAATAATAATAATAATAATAATTTGGGACAAATGAGGCCCTGTGCTACTTAAGATATGCGCTCTTGTGGCCTAATGGTTACAGCGTCTGCCTCAGATGCGGGAGTTCGCGGGTTCGAACGCCTGCCGAGTCATACCAAACACTTACAAAAATGGTACTAACAACTGCCTCGCTTGACGCTCAGCATTAAGAGGTTAGTGTTAGGACTGGTCGGCCTGGTGTCAGGATAATGTGACTGGGTGGAACATCATCTTACATTTCTGCCGCATGATGCCCCAGTGCTAGACATCACTATAAGCTGTCACACTGCTGACATCGTAGCTATATGACTGAAAAATTATTAAAGCTACGTTAAAAATCTAAATAACACACACACACACACACACACACACACATACACACAGAATTAAGTTATGAGAACCTTTACTTGGGCCTTGAAGAAGGTAGACCCGGTCGGCCTACACAGGTAGTCATGCATATATACTTGCGAAATTTAGGAGTAGTTAAATAGCCACAGACTTTTAAAAAATTCATCGCAATTTTTTTTATTTATTTTTTTTGGCAAATCCGGATGGGCCCCTGGCCTTGTGCATCTAAGCACAATCTAGATACAGTGGTAAATCCGATACTGTATATGTTAACGTTTCGAGTTTCATATAAAATGTTAACGGTATCAAACAGGTCTTATGCCTTATGACACAACTCGTACATTACATGTGACTATTAAATGCACTATTTCATGGTATGTGAAATTGATTTATTTCTACAAATAATCACTGTTTACCCTCAAGCAGTGAAATATTGTTACTATCAGGACTTCAAAAGCTATATTTAAACAGAGAAATGGATCGCTCTGCGCCAGACAAAGATATTTGTTTAGAGATCACTGTAATGGCTTGCTATATAAGGCAATCAATGGAATGCGTTGGCATGTATCTGCATTTTATGACAAATAAAGCAGTCGATCTTTTTATGCATTCATGGAGAAAATAAATAATGTCAACTTTAACCTCATCCTTGAAACTATAGCAAATAACTGATGTTTCCCGACAACAGTGCAATTACAGCACATACCTACCGTTTCGTCGTAGCAAACGAACGATTGCATCTTGTGCTTATTTTTTTTTTC